GGGGGGGCGTTAAACGCCCCCAGCCGATAACTCGAGAACCAATAGGCGCAGCGAAACGCACGAGGCGGCAAACGAAAGAACGCGACGAGACGCTTCAGATGAGTACTTAAAAGTTGAATTTTGAGGTCACAGGTCAGGTCAAGGTCAGGTCAAACACCTGAAATCGGGCTTTCAGTAGCATGGACTTCAGGACTTCGCAATGGGCGCCTCTCGTCATAAACTCTGTCAAAACGGTGCACAATCCATCATATAAGGCCTACAAGAGTGTCAGCTCCATGCAGGGGTCAGTCAAGCATAGGTCAGGGTCAAGGTCAGGTCAACCGGGCAGGCACATATCCCCGAAAATAAAAACTGATATTCGCAGCCTGTGACACATGTTTTATGGGTAATTTGGGGCGTAGAGCACGATGGTGACATTCATTTTATCATATGTGTACGTGTTTGGCTAAAAAAGTTCAATTTAAGAAATGCATGTATCATGGTCGTGAAGTAGTCACGAGAAATTGCCAAGATTCAGTTCAAGATTTTGGAAAATGCGGAACGATAATCAATAATCGAAGATAGCCATCTGATTGTTCATGGTATTGGCAGTCTAATGGCGTTTACGGCATGTCTGTCTATTCTGTGATTTTATATGATTTTTTGAACATATGCCGTTTTTGGGCGAAAACTCAGAAATCATGACGTCACTAAAACCTCGATATCTCAAAAATTTTCCGACCGATTTTTTGGAAACTTTGTCACAATAAGCTTCAATCGATTCCCTACAGGTACCCAAAATTTGGCGCGCCTGCGGCGCGCCGTTTTTATGCTATGGCCCGGCGAAAAAAGTGGGGGCGTTTAACGCCCCCCCCCCCAGCAACTCGCGGGGTAATTGATGTAGATCTTCGCGGAGAAGAGAATTAGCGCTGTTCCAAAACACAACGACTTGTATTCAATATCAGGGTTTCAAGTCGACCGGACACCGCTAGAGACAGGCCAAAGATCCGAGGCTCGGGGTCGACTTTTTAGTAAAGGAATTCTGTTAAACTTCAGGCAGGTATGTTTTCTTCCAAGGCTGCGTTTGTCACATTTTATCATGAATAAGTCATATGGTGGCAACATTGAACTTTATCAACAAAATTGTCCAATTGGGGCGCTTGTCTGAACTCTGGTGTAACGATTGTTTCGGTACCTTTGCCTATCACTTTTAGCTAACTTATAACGCGCTCCCTTTGTTTGAGATACACTTTCCACCAACAGCTTCATTCTACATTTTCGTTCTGTTAGCGGCGAGAAAAACATATACCTACCCACCTCAAACTTCCTCTCGCAGGACCCAGCAGAGGAAAAACATAGTTCAAATAGCCGATGAATATCATTCGTGCTCTCAAAATGATTCGCAAATATCATACAAAAATGCACGCTAGTTTGGGAAGAGACGTCTTTTAATGGCCTTCTCACAATTATGTACCAAATGCTGAGTTTCTGAAATAATAATTACATATTTATGAGTTCGGCTGCACAGGACGTTATCAAGCTTGACTATCAAGTGATTAGTAAACAAAGTAAGTTATTAGTAAACGAATGCACACTGATAACTTACCTGCTGCAGCATGCGCGATTTGATCTGATCAGATGTCTTGCATGGTACTTGGACGACAGATCGGCCGTGCTTCACAGATGAACATTGGTCGGCGGCTCAGGCATTTCACTGACTTGGCTAAGCCGCTCCAGTTTACCAGTGTTCTCGCCTGCGACTTTTCACGAGTCACCTGGTGATTGTAACCAGTTACCGGCTGCTGTTACCGGTCCAGATGCCGTTACCGGCCACAGGTATCTGTCAAATAGCACCAGTCACCCCAGCCTTATAACCTTCACCAATCCGAATCTACCCAACGCTTCCAAACACCACCCCAACGAAATCTCACCCACCCTCTCTTCACATCACATCTCTTCACCCCACAATCGCTGCAGACACAACCTTCCCCCGCCGCTTCCGAATCTCCCCTGAGCCTCCGCCTCGGGCGGTGGCTGTCAGGAGCAGCGCGCGCACTACCCCCCCCCCCCTCCTACCCTCTCCCCTCCCCCGGCGCCGACTGCCCCAGGCGTTGACATGGAAAGGGCGGATGGCTCCCATGTGAATGGATGGGGTAGGGGGAGGAGAGATTGATGAGAGGGTGTATTGGTGGTGGTGGTGGTGGTGGTGGTGGTACTTACAGTGGTGGTGATAATTGTGGTGGCGCTGGTGCTGTAAGTGGTGGCGACTAAGACATTCGGGAAGAAATTGGGTTACTTTAATTCAACAATGAAACAATGTCAGAGAAATTACATTTAACGGAGATAATCTAATTGGTGCATTAGGCAAGAAATTAAGGAACTGAGGGAGGCAATGAACTGAGAGAGGTGTTTGAAAGATTTGGATAGACAATGGACGTCGAGACATCGCCGAATATCAGTTAATCGCATTGGGAAAGTGGCGTGTAACAGCATTGCCACTTGCATGCTTTGATTTAGCTGACAGTGCAGTGGTGGCAATGGGGGCGATGACAGATAAATTGAGGCAACTACAGAATATCGCACTACATTGTGATTCGTGGATTTACCCTGTTCACCTCGAGGGCCTACCCTGCCCGTCGAACCTGAGTCAAGGGTGCATTGATGCCATCTCTCCCTCCCACAAGTTCGCTCCTAATTGACACACAGACCCAATAGAAAAAGGAGGGAGGGAAGTAAAGCCCCGAGCAAAAGAAGTGCGTGTTGATGGCTGGAAGAGAGTCATCAAAGCTTTTGCTTTGTCCATCAAAGTCATCGAAGCTTTGCTTCAAATACTTTTGCTCAGTTGGTGACCTTTGATATCATGTCAAGTAACGAATTTCCGCTCGGTATGATTCTAGACATTCAGTGTCATATTGGGAGAGTCAAGAAGTGTATAATTTATCAATGTAATACTGTCAGCGTAGATCTGGTTCTCATTTCTTACTAATTTATGCTCCATTTTTATTAGGTATCCGGTTTGCACCGGCGGCAACTGTGATGCATGATAGAATAGATATATAACATTGGAAAAGTTGAAACATTATTCATAAAGTTTGAGCTAATAATAATGAACGGGTGGAAGGGTTCGGATAAACGGGGCGCAGATGAACATTGTGAAATAAATGTGCCTTCAATATTGCGAGCATATTTTGCGTATAAAACAATTCGCTCCAGCAAATGGGACTGCTAACAAAGGATGGTTTATTTTTAGATGAGAGCGCCGAGCGGTCCTATGGCTATGCACGGACCACGCATTCATTACACAAATTGATTGTCCGGTATGTCATGCTATGCATTTGCATTAAAACCTAAACTTCTTATCGCCATGTTTGGCTCACATAGCATTTCCAAGTATTTCGATTAGCATCGATCCCTCGTCTGGTAGCTCTGTGCCGAAGCCGTTGGATTCACTACGTGCTGCCACCTACAACTGCTAGCTCAGCGCTTTTCTGCCATCTGCCGCTATGCATTTCGACTCGGTCCCAAATGCACATGCTGTAGGTAGAATGTAGAGGTAGGTATAGTATATGTCTTGTCATATGCATTTATTATTATATAAGCAATATATGCGTTTATGCATATGCACATTTAGCTGCCAAGCTGGGTAGTTTATTTAGATACTACGATGGTCGTAGCCTTGTTGATCGCTGCCATCTAATGTTTTTTTTTTTTTTTGTACAATACCTTTGAGCATACCTATATCACGAGATGCTTGCATTTTTGTGTTACGAAGGTTTTCCCAGCACCTAGATCAAAGCCATATAACTATTTGCTAAGCTAGCTCAGTTGCGGCACTTGCATATTTGACCCATTTCTTTTATCAACTAAAACAGCGACAATTTATAGACAAACCATCAACTATATCTTCCAATCTTTTTGCAAAAAAAAAAACAACAAAAATCGGTATTATGCAATTTAGTTGTCACCGTTTTGCTCTGGCACCAGCCACTAGCCTGTAAATCTCTATCATTTTATCGATAACCAAACATCTCTAAACCCATCTCTCACGCTTCCAATCGCTGATATGGCTATCATATGATCGACTTATCAAGTCCGACCTTCATGACCTTCTGTTATGAGAGAAGACTCTCACGGTCGATCGTTACCTAAAGCTTATCTCACATGACACTGAGACGCTCCCACATGATGTGACACTCTCGAGAGTACGTTATCGTCAAGGATGGGTGCTGTTTTGTCGAGAGTACGATACTGTGTGTGCTGTCGCCGGCTGCTGAGCGATGGCATTATTTGCTGGGTGCTGCCGCGGAGCGCTTTGGACCGCTGCGAACTCTTTTGGGCTGCTGGACGCTTACTTGGACTGCTGATTGCTGCTGTGAACACCTGGGCGCTTATTTGTGACTGCTGATTGCTGCTGTGAAGCGCTGTGGACTGCTGAACGCTTATCTGGACTGCTGGACGCTGCTGCTGTGCTGTGCGCTCATCTAGACCACTGCTCGCTGCTGCGGAGGACTTTAGACTGCTGAGTGCAGCGTTACGCAGTTATAGACCGCTGGGCCTGGTGCATGTTCCTATGGACATTAGCCGTAAACAGACTGCTGATGCTGGTGTTGCTTTGAAACGCTGAGCGCTGTCGTAAACTGCTGTGTAACTTACTTGGACTGCTGAACTGGGCCGCGAGTGTGGACTACCGGACAGTTACTTGGACTGCTGAGCGCTGCTGTGGACTGGTGGGAGCTGCTAGACGCTTACTTTGACTGCTGAGCGCTGATGTTGAGCGCTGTGACTGCCGAGCGCTGTTGTGAGTTGCTGTTAGCAGCTTCGAACTACTGAGCACAGCTGGGTTTTTCTGTGGGCCTTGGCACTGAGGCAGACTGCATAAAAAAGGTGGTGTGAGAACTAAATGCTACTGTGCCTTGCAAAGTGCCATTCTGGACTGCTCTGATCTTCCTCTGAACAGCTAAGACAGCGTCGAAGTTTTGGCTGCTCTTACTAATGATAAAAACTGAGTGCTCTAAATTCAACCTGAGCAGACCCTAAGGAACCGCAATTTCAAGAACTGTTAGCCCGACATCATCTTGAACCATCATGTCGTTCTCCTCAGTGCTTCATCTCGTTCCAGTACGCTACATCATTACCATCATGATCTTTCTCGGCATGCTGTTCAACTACATGGTTCGCGTCAACATCAACCTGGCTATCGTGGCAATGGTCAACCACACCGCTCTTCCGCACACGAACTTATCAAGGTCGGATGAATGTGGAGGAAATGGAAGTGTGACTCCTCTTCAGCCACAAGAAGATGGAAAGTTTGTATGGGATGAGCGTATGCAGGGCCACATCCTCGGAGCGTTTTATTATGGGTACGTCGTGACGCAACTGGCTGGAGGGAGGATGGCGGAGGTGTTCAGTGGGAAACATACCTTTGGCGTGGCGATGTTTATCTCGGCTCTGCTGACTTTGTTGACTCCCGTAGCGGCTGAGACGGATTGGAGGTTTCTGGTGGCTGTCCGTGTGGTCATGGGACTGGTACTAGGGGTGACCTTCCCAGCATCATATGTTCTTCTTAGTTCGTGGGTGCCCATGGGACAGATGAACTTGTTGGTGATGCTGGCTCAGGGAGGTGGCGACTTGGGTACTACGTTTACCCTACCGATGACATCAGCCATCATTGAAGGACTTGGATGGGAGGCAGTTTTCTATATCCAAGCGGGTTTCGTGGTGGTCTGGTTTGCCTGTTGGATGGTTTTAGTCTGCGACAGCCCTGAAAACCACTGGTTTATTACTGATGAAGAACGTCAGCTTATCGTAGCCGGTGTTGGACCTCGTGTCAGTGAAGTACGTCATCATTCCCTACCATGGCGTGGGATCCTTACCAGCATCCCCGTCTGGGCTTACTTCGTGGGGTACTTCGGCGCTTGCTGGTGTTATTACAGCCTTCTTACCGACCTACCACAATACTTCAGCACCATGTTGGGTGAAGACCTCTCCTCCAACGCCCTCTTCAACTCTCTTCCATACTTGGGGCTATGGCTGTTCACCATCAGCTTCGGCTACGTCAGCGATGAAGTGGTATCTCGAGGCTGGGCGGGACCTTTGGCAATCCGACGTACAGCTGCAGTGGTGTCTATCCTCGGTCCCGCAGCTTTACTAACAGCTATCGCGTTTTCTGGTTGTCAAACCTCCGTCGTTGAGGCTCTTCTAGTGGTGACTATCATTTTACAAGGCGCTGGGTATAACCTGGGGGTTCTTCCCCTCGACCTGGCACCTAACTATGCGGGGACTCTTGCAGGGCTCGCCAACACGCTAGGCGCCATACCAGGGTTTCTTGGGCCTCTGGTTGTGGCCGCACTTACTGAAGGGAATGAAACTCTTGCAAGATGGAGAACCTGCTTCCTGATAGCTGCAGGATTGGCTGGGGGATGTGGACTGTTTCTGCTAGTGGGTTGTAGTGTAGAGGAACAGCCTTGGAATAGAATGAACGACGATAATTCGGAAAATGACGTCGAGCAGGATCGAAAGCTTTCCATAAAGTCAATGGCGGGAAAGAAAAGCTTAGACAGTGAAGCGGGAAGAAGCAATCCATCTTTTGAGGAGAATGCTATTTGAAGGCGAAAGGTTCACTGTTTAAGAAGATGATCTGACGTTGATTGAAGCTCTATGCTATACACTCTGCAGTGTTGCATGCAATGGCAATGTTTTCAATGGGACCGAATTTAAGCAAAAAAGGAAAGCGGGCGTGACTGAGAGAACGATTATGATAATCGGAAAGGAATTGGAATAACTTGATAAAGCCCGTATCACTGCCATTTTTGCGTACGTAAGCGAGCATCATGTAAAATACCTATTCACTTTGCAATCTTTGAGCTAAAAGTGTAATGCCAAGTAACGCGGGAAAAGACAGTCGCGCTTGTTCATGAACTGTACCTACCATATTGAGTGACGCCTAATAAATTACATGCATAATGCACCCACTGCGTTACATGACCCTGTCACCCTGCGTCTTTGTGCATGCCAGTTAAATATATCTGCTATTTCGATCTACATTTGGTCTAGTTACCGTGTTTGCAAATGGCTTATGACGTCTTGTTGCTAACTGATCTATTCACATATACCTAGACATGTTTTTATAGTGATGTATAGTTTAAACCAATATAACCTTATGGAATGGAACTTGTGATGCCTAATGTGAATGCCAATAAACACAGTCGCACCTCCTATAGCCGGACTTTTGGTTATTCAATGAGGGCGTCACAGTGCGGACACCTGACAAAGAATAATAGTCAGCACTTAAACTGATGACAAGCTGTTACGATAATCTACGGCATCTCAGCCAATATGTCACACAATGTTTGCGTGTTAAAGAAATTACGAGTTATATAACGTCTGAATTCATGCATAGCTACTAGTGTGTGCAAGTTGATCGCGTTTCTATGGCAACCAATCGGCTTTGTTGGTGCTGTCTCTGTTCGGTTTATGCTGCCAGTCGAGGTGCAGCTTTGCTACGGAGCTAAACCTCGCGAAGGTGAGAAAAATTTTAGATTACATTTTGGCCTTTTGATAGCGATCCTGGCTATATTTGTCGGTGAATCTTTTTCTTAACTTTGGGCCCACCCCGTGACTCAGTTTTAGCCGTGCCTAGCACATTTCATCTGACTGACACAAGTAAAAAGGTGAGTATAGTCAATGGACAACAGATAATATACACTAGTCGTGAGATAAGCGATGAGTCAGTGAATAAGCCTGCTCATTCAGCGTTATGGAAAACGATAGATGACCTCCTACCTCTATGTACCAAACGCAACATTTACAAACTGTAATATCAAGACAAACAAAGCACTTGCCAGGAAAGAAAAAGAGGCATATGCACCTCGTAGCAACAGAAAATGATTGAAAGTAGATATTTGAATCGTATGTAAGAGCAACCCCCCATACTTTGAATCAGCAACACATGCTAAAATGATACCCCAGCAGTGGTGATGAAAATTGCTTTTTGCCCTACCAAGACGCTTAGCATTACCTATCTTCCCGATCCATTTATGAATATTGGACATGCCAACCTGCTTGCAAGAGTACATCCGTCTGCTGTCAGTTTTGATTCTAATAAGAGTGAACAAAAACCTTTCGCTCCTAACTACAGAAAGCCAAAACAAATCGAAATCTAATGGATTTTTTAACCTTCGCCCCAGTGGGGGGGGCATATGTTACCACCCTGTCGCGTTTTTTGCGTGTGAATAAAAAACCGCGGCGCGTAGCGCCGCGCCGCTTGGGGTAGCTTTTGGTACATCAATTTTGGACAATGTGTGAAATTTTTGACCCCAGGTCATGTCAGGTCAGGTCACCAGGTCAAGTTAACTGATCAAGCCTAAAAAAAGTTTGCAATCATGTCCAGCCTGCAGTGTTTGTCAGAAAGGTTTTAAACTTGTAGGATTGCATGCTGTTATGGGCGCCTATAATTTGTATATCTCGGATTTTTTATATCCGTGACCTAAGGTCAGGTCAGTGGCGTGACCTTACCATTACAAGTCAATGGAGAAAAATGAAAATGCCTCTAGATCCGTGTGTACGCATCGGAACAGTCCAAATATTTCAGACTCACAATGATTTAGTCCACTCGTGATGACCAAGGTGTCATTTTTGCTGATAGCCTCTAGACAGGTCATCCGAGGTCACTTGAGGCTACAAACAGTTTTTTGCCAATAACTCGCGATTGGAACGAGATAGAACGCTGGGGATGGTCTCATTGTGTTTGTCTTGTTGAGACGCATCGACTGATATGTAACATGACCTTTTCCGGTCAGGTCATGACCTTGACCTGAGGTCAAATTTTCAAGTTGACCTTTCAAGGTCAAATTATAGTTCATTCGACGCGTCTCGGCGAGAGGAACACGATTCTGGCAATAGAAATGTCGTGGCTTTTTGTAGTCGAAAGTTATTGTCGAAAAACACTTTTCGTAAAAACAGCTATTTTTGGAGTTTTTGCCCTCTGGAGGCTAAACCGTTGACCTGAGGTCAATATTGATTATGACCTTTTCAAAAGAAGAGTTCACAAGCTATCGTTTGCTGTTCCATGCGTTTTTGTAGCTACCATAGTTCCTGAGATAGCGGCATGTTTTCTGAAAAATATAATGATAATTGGCTAATTTTGACCTTTGATGACCTCTGGTGACCCCAATATTGCTCTAAGGTGAAAAATAACCGAAATACTTTAAAACGTACGCATTGAGAGCTATCGACTGCTTTTTACCGCGTCTTTCTAGCCCTCTTAGTTTTTGAGTTAGAGGTGGGTGGTAACATATGCCCCCCTCACTAGGGCGAAGTTGGCTGAGACCGCCACTGGGGCGCGGGTTAACCTCTTTAAGTAATAAGAGAAAATGTCATTATTCAATTATTCATTCATATTTCAATTATAGTTATAATCCTGCAAAAAATACGTTTCAAACTCTTCAAACTGCGGTTAATTTGACCAATATTTCTTATTCCAGACACGGAAGAGGTATGTCTCTCCCAGCTGCAGAGTTGGCCCAGTGTGCCGCGCGGGTAGCTTTTAACCACGGATGGCCGGTTGCTGAACTGGTGTGGCAGTCACCCAACCCCGTCTGGATTCTGCCTGCCCTGCTGCTGCAGCTCTCCAAACTGGGAGTGTTTGCTCGTCGTTCCTTGGACGGCAGGAGTAGTGGAAGTGGTGGTGGTACCATTCAGATAGCGGCACCAGAGCTGGCCGTAGCGACGCGGCCACTGCTGCTTCTGCCGCCTCGCGATGTATCAATAAACCAGCTGGAGAAGCTGTCCTACAGCCTGCATGGTGTCGAAGTGCTGCAGCCCGACTCGGGTCAGCTACTGCTTGTGACCCGTAATGTCAACTCCGGCCCGCTGGTTACCACCGTTGGCAGATGTCGAGGAGGACAACTGAAGCTGCTGCCACTCCCACCAAAACCTTCGGGAGGTCTTAATGACCTTCGAGTCGTTAACAAAACCTACCGCGTGGCGCGATTTGATTGGTCCCACTCCGATCGACTCTCTTTGTTCCACCTCGCTGAAGACATCGTCGCTCTCCTGCAAGACATTCTTGGATTCAAAACCATCGATACAATGATACAAGAGAACCCTCTGAGTCAGTTCTTTAGTCTCCTCCAGAATGGCTCTCTTGATTTCGGCGTTGCCATATTCGGATGGTCGCAGAAGCGGCATCCGTACACGAAACTCTCGATGGCTCTTGCACACTATGATCGCGGGATGTTCATACGCACACCAGAACCCTCTTCCGTGCCTTCTTTCAGCGGAAGTCTTGAGAGTCACCGTCTTCAGGCGTTGGCTATAGGTCTTCTTCTTGTGGCCGCCGTGGGTGGGTTTGTGATATTCCGCCTAACCTGCGCTCCAGACTCGCGTCTTGTCACGTTTTGTCTCCTGACGATCGGTTCAGTGGCTGCCCAAGGCCTTGCACTTCGTCCGGGGAGCATGTCACAGCACATAGCCGCTGCTGTGGTCCTTGAAGTTGGCATGATGACCTTCCAGTTCTATACAGCTGGTCTCCTAGCACAGGTAACCACCGAACAAGCCCGCTTGCCATTCAAGCATCTTGACGATGTCACCCGTCTTCCGGAGTGGCATTGGGCAGTACAAGAGAGATCCGTGGGCGCGGACGTTCTTCGCTACTATCCAAGACCTGGCGCCAACTTCACCAATGTCATGAACGATGGTATTATGGAAGGGAACATGACGAAGTGGGTCTCCCGCGCTGCCAGAGGCAAGTTCGGATTCTTCAGCATCACTTCACTAGTTGTCGACCAATGCACGGTGATACGATGTCCCAGTGTGTGTCTCCACCCTCAGAAACTGATGCGCGGATGGGGAGGACTTCCATTCCATCGGAGTATGAAGGAATGGCGTCTATTTGATGCCGCCCTTCTGCGGATGAAAGAGACGGGATTGTTGTCGCGTCTCTATCAACGTCGCTTACCAGAACGGCTCCTCCGCTCGGTGGAAAGATGTGACCTGGATGCTCGCCCGAGAACCCGCTGGTCTTCTCTGGGTCTTTCCGAATGCGGGCCGTTGTTTGCTATTCTCCTCGGAGGCTCCTGCGCTGCAGTGATTCTGCTGGGTCTTGAGCTGCTGGCGGGAAAGCTGAAGGAGTTTGACGAGGTTCATCGGGCTACTGATGAAGGCCAAAGGTCATGTCCTTCAGAGCAGCACAGTCATAGGTCGAGTGTGCTCTCAGTAAGGGAGAGAAGTCACCTTGACGCTATTGATGAATCCCTAGACAGCACGGTACTGGTGATATCATGATTGTTTTGTAATGGTCTCGCAGTTGGCACCAAAAGCAGGACATGGCGTCGTATGTCAATACCTGTAGATTGATGGACAGCAGCTAACTCGAAATACTTGTAGCCTAGAATACATTGGTCGATTGGTCATATACCAATCATTCGCGGTTATACCCATAATAGACCTCTGTACAGTGTAGTACACCAGGTCTGTGCAAAAGAAAACCATCACCAAAATACGTATTATGTGGCAAAGCATGGTGTTTGTGCATACTGCGCAGTAGAAGTGCTTTCATTGTCTACTACACCTTTTTTCGTCCGAATTCACAAAGATGAAGTCCAAATTCACAAAGCTGAATTCCAAATTCACAAAGCTGAAGTCCAAATTCACAAACCTAAATTACGAATTCAAAAGTCGAAAGTCCAAATTCACAAACAAAAAGTTGGAATTCAAAAAGATAAGATCGAATTTCAAAAAGCAAAAATGTGATTTCAAATAAGTAACAAGCAATTTCACAAAACAAAAATGCAATTTCAAAAAGATAATGTTTGATTTCAAAAGATATTCTGAACTAACTACAGACAAAGCTGCTGCACCTGAATTTTATATTTTTATAAGAGGTGCTTATAAGAAAAGGTACATAAATTTCCGCATGAGGAATACATCTGCTAATATTATGTAATATTCCTATTTGGAGGAACTCATTTAACAAAAATAGCACATGGAACACGTGATTTTTTACAACAATTGTTTATGAATCCACATGAATCATTCTGAACGTTGAACTCACAGATGCTTACCTCATTTGCTCTGTTAACGTCAATAACTTGCTGTGATTTATTTTATTGTAGCCAGGTATGTCTCAGTCCTCAACGGAGGTTGACCATTTTTTTAACCATGATGGGGATATGCAAGTTGAGGTAGAATTGACAGAGGTTGAAAATCCAGTTCCTGACGGAGCTCCTGACGAAGCTGGACCTGCCGGTGGCGGTGACGGCCCACCACAGCCGCGAGGCAGGCGCGGCCCTCCGCCGGGCACCAGGCGTGGGCCGTACAAGCGGATCCCCCGGGATGCCCAAGAGCGGGTCGTGGCCGTGTTCAATGAAGGTGGAGACTGGAAGGCGGCTGCGACAGCGAATGGAATTCCGGTCCGCACTGCCTACGGGTACATTACGAGGCCCGAAGGACAGCTGCCGCGTCCCCGTGGCGGTGCCACAAAGAAGAAAGTTACCCAGGGGATGGTCGACAAGATGGTCACTTACGTCGAGGAGAATCCATTGATATCTCTCGTGGAGATCGGTCGCAATTTGCGCCAGGACACCGGTGTCACCATATCCGTCCCGACCATCCACCGCCACCTGCACGGCCAGCTGTTTACTATGAAGAAGGTCGTGGCCGAGCCAGTGGCCATGAACAACGCCGCAAATAAGCAGAAGAGGGCCGAGTACGTGCGAAAGGTGATGGCGGCGACGGGGAGTGGGAGATCGGTGCTCTACATGGATGAAACGAACGCGAACCTGTTTTTGCGGCGTTCTCAGGGCCGATCCCGCCGCGGCCTGCGATGTTCGGTGAAGGCCGCCACCAGTAAGGGCCCCAACGTCCATATCATCGGGCTGATGTCGCAGACCGGCATCATCTACTGGGAGCGCCGACGAGGGTCCTTTCGGAAGACGGACTGCTCTGACTGGCTGCGACGTGCCCTGCAGGCCTGCCCTCTGCCGCTCGACCAGGTGACGATCGTCTGTGACAACGCGCCGGTACACTGTGACCTGGAGGCAGTTGCAGCCGAGTTCCCTGGTCTGGAGCTGGTACGGACAGCGCCATACAGCGCGCCGTTGAACCCGATTGAGGCTGTCTGGTCTGCAGTGAAGGCGAACATGAAGCGGGGCATGGCGTCATCATTCAGCGCCATGATGGACACGACTGACGGCATCACCCAGCAGGAGCACCGGCTGCGCTACCTGGAGGCCAAGATGGACGCCGCCATGGAGTGCATCAACCCGGTGATGTGCATGAACTTCTACAATCACGTCCAGCGCCACTATGCCGGGTGCGTGGCCCTGGCCGACCTGGCGATGGGCGTGTGAGAGTGATGGAGGTTCAAGATATGTTTCTGATTTGTAGTGGCTTAGTTCCAAACGTGCCCTACGGCGTTGTCAGACAAGCAGCTTTGCGTTGTTTTTGTCTAAGTCGCAAATAAAACTGTCCGTCCGTTGCCTTGCATTTATTTCAACGAGATCAGTGCCTGCAGATGGCCACTCTGCTCATTATCACGTTATTAGGTATCCACTATAAGCTAAAACCGACAAATTCTGAAGATATAGGAACATTATTTTTACATCCGAAAAAAAACAAAATATTTTGTCATTTTAAATTGTAGGTATATGTTAAAAGAGCTAGGTAACATATCATCAGAAAACAACAAGAAACAACGTTTGAAATCCAGCATTATCTTTTTGAAATTGCATTTTTGGTTTGTGAAATTGCTTGTTACTTATTTGAAATCACATTTTTGCTTTTTAAAATTCGATCTTATCTTTTTGAATTCCAACTTTTTGTTTGTGAATTTGGACTTTTGACTTTTGAATTCGTAATTTAGGTTTGTGAATTTGGAATTCAGCTTGGTGAATTTGGAATTCAGCTTTGTGAATTTGGACTTCATCTTTGTGAATTCGGACGAAAAAAGGTGTAGAAAAATGGTGGTGGTTGACAAAATCAGTTGCTTTTCGTATAACGTTTGAACCGAAAGTTTGTGTTTTATTGGTCGAAATGCTGTTCGTTACAATTGCACTTTTACTAAAAGAAACTTGAGTTCCCGGGCAAATATTGTCGTAAGCTTATTCTGTAGCCAGATAGCTAGTGAGATGTCACTGGTAGGTGCTATAACTCCGTGTGATGTTTCGTCGTTTCAAGGCATTACGTTTATGTTGTCTAGTGCCTAGCAACAAATATCCTTTGTCAAAGTTACCATGCTAAAAATAAATTCATTGTCAGACGAAACCTTTTATCTTCCAACAATGTAACAGCGAGTTCTGCTTTTCCATACCTCGATAGGCGTTATCACAAGTGTATTCGCGGCCATTGGGGCGACGTAAGAAAAGAAGAAAACAACTGGCCCCAAGAACTTTAAATTATCAGTTAGCATGCACCTTTTCCTTGATATGTAGAGAATTTACCATTGATTGTTAAAGAAAATTGCATTTAAAATCTTCCATTTATGCTTTTTTCATCGTTTGCACAGTATGTTCTTTTACTAAGCTAGAAACACTAATTATAAATAGTTCCCGCATCATCAAGAACAATAGGGAAGGCTTGAAGTGAATACAATAATCTAAACGGTTTTGTAATCCATGTGAAGACACTTCTAAAATTGCCTGTAGAAATATTAAAGGCAAAAGTTCAACTTTTTCAAAAGACGGATGGCTATAAACCTATTCAACGTGTGACAACTCAGCCGGTAGGGGAAGTTGGGACAATGCCGGAGTTGGGGCAAAGCCGAAATTCGAGATATTTCGAAAACCGTAAGACATGGATGCCACCTGTCAGTGATGCTCTGAAGCTTAAGTGACTACAATTATCGCATGTTTGTTACGAGTCGTCATTCGGAATACTTCGACTGTGAGGGCGCCAAGAGCGTTTTCAAGGTACGTTTCCCTTGTACTACATGCGCCTTTGAAGCTGCATTTCTTACTCATTATGCTACCGTTTGTCTGGCTAATTCGGTCAAGTAATCTTTAGCATGTCTTTGCATAAGTGTGCTGCCTATTTGAAATTTATACAGCACGTTGAAAAGTTATGGGCCTGCAAATGAAAGTATGGCTGGCTGGGGTAATGCCGAAAACGTGCGATTACGCACGTGTTAAAAGCACGCTACGTGGACTTTACTGCTGTAGAATAGCAACGCGTATTTTTAGTCACACAAATTACACTTTCAACCGACACAACGGCCTGTTACCTAAAAGGAATGATTTACCCGGCATTTTCTTATTATATCACACAATTATAACTTCCAGTGTGCACCGCGTCCTCAAGCTCTTAAAACGCGTGTCAGCTTTGAAGAATTCTGGATAAAGTTTGAGATAAAATGGCAAAACATAAATGTCGGTATTCCCCGTAGATCATTTCTCCCATTTTCGGCTTTCCCCGCAGTCCGGGGCAACGCCGAAAAAGTCACTTCTTTGATATTTTTAGTTTGTGCGCTTAACGGTATGCGAATTCATCAAATGCGCCTGGTATGTTTGAAAGGCAAAAGACTGGCCTCTCGAATGACGCCAACAAGAATAGCTTATGTTGTCTACCTTGCGTGCTACGGGCGTCAGAAAAAAAGTCTTCGGCGTTCCCCCAACTTCCCCTATATCGTCGCCTACAGCCCAGCTTTCCCTAGTGACCGATAGAGGCGCTGCTATCGATGTCCGCCCGTGCCGCCTAACGTCAGGCAAACGCTATCACACCTATGTAGACCATGCAGTCGTTCATTCGGCCAAAGCTGTATTGACCGCAGACTAAAAGTGGATATTGTGTCAGCGTAAATAACCTTCTGTTATATTTAGTCATGTGTGGTGTTTTGAAAACCAATCCACTATTTTATTGTCGCCAGGCTTGCGCTATTAACAAAATTGAAAAGGTTATATAAGTGAGCGCTTTATTGTATATCCAGAGTTCAAATACAATGAAGGAGTTGTCATCGCTAAAATGAGCTGACATACATGCCCAATGCATGGCGGCATGGCCTTTGTTTGACAAGGCAACCATGATGCACAGTGAAGCTTTCGTCAGCAGCCTTTGCAATCAATGTGCGCTATAGGCGTCATTGACGTCACTGGAATAATCATGTCACTGTTCATCATGACATAACTGGGTTAGGTGACGACAGTAGATCTATGACGCCACTGAACTCGGCCTAACATTTGTGAATGGCTGTCTCGCATTGCACCACCAACGGCTTAAACACAAGAAGACAGATAAGTGTAGGTACTAGGTATGGCCTAAACCTCTGTGTCAGAAGTGGTATGATTATTGAAGTGCGTGAAATTATTCCACGCGGAAATAATTGTACGTGCAAATTTGTTTGGAGCGTTTTGTGAATAAACGAGAGACTTTTGGGCGCTACTGGTGTTCGGTTGTTTAAATTCTATTACAAGCTATTTCGGCCTTATCTCGGTCTAGTTACGGTATTCTATAAATAAGGGAAAATTCGACAGGGAAGATAAAGAAAGCTAAAAATGGCGAAGAGGCAAGTCACGACAACGAACCAACGATCGATTCGATTTTGTCCAGTTTGGATACCGGTGCTGGAGTCCGGTGATGGTAACCGGCGATGGAGCCCGGTGATGGAGACCGGTGATGTAGCCCGGTGGTGAAGCCCGGTGATGGAGCCCGGTGCTGGAGACCGCGGTTATGGAGCCCGGTGATGGTGACTGGTCGTGGAGCCCGGTGCTGGAGCCCGGTGCTGGAGGAGCCCGGTGATGGAGCCCGGTGCTGGAGACCGGTAATGAAGACCGGTGCTGGAGACCGGCGATGGTGCCCGGTGATGGTGCCCGGGTGGTGAGCGGCGAGTGCTCCGGTTTGTTGACCGATTAAGGTGCACGGTTTGGCCGCGGTTTTATGACCGAAGATAATGTTTTTGATATTTTGTGTGTGTGCGTTTTAGTGATCTTGAAGATCAGAGGGGCGTGTGTCAGAAGTGGTATGATTATTGAAGTGCGTGAAATTATTCCACGCGGAAATAATTGTACGTGCAAATTTGTTTGGAGCGTTTTGTGAATAAACGAGAGACTTTTGGGCGCTACTGGTGTTCGGTTGTTTAAATTCTATTACAACCTCTGAATTCATTTTAAAAAGGACAAAGAAAAACGCAAGAAATTATCCAACGCTTCGCATTTATTGCTTAGTCATGGGTGTTATTGTCCTTCTAGTTACGATGAGTTTGATAATCTTCAACAAGTAGACAAACTGTATCAACAACAAGTAACTTGTAGAATAACTGCTAGTGGCACCAACACTAGCTGTGTACCGTAGCTGCGACCAGTAACGCCTCTGCACAACAATTTCGCCAACATTGGTTACAAACCCAGCAAACTAAAACAAAAACTAACAGGTGACGCGACAACAGCCAAAACAAACAACAAGCCGCTGCGTCAACGTCGTATGTGAGTAACATGGTAACATAATTTCTTATGTTACTAGCGTAAGTTAGTAGTTAGTAAGTAACAACGGTATTTATTGGGGACCGGATATTTACAAATACAAACGCGTTTCCTCACATAGCTATATACAAATCAAGTTTCGTTATCGTTTGTTTGGAAATATTGTTGAATGACTTATGTTTCGTTGACAGAGCGATGCTACCGTCATTATGACATCAATATGACATACTTTGACATATGTGATACAATGTCAAAATATTGCAACAAGTACATAAGGTGGCATCATTTTTATCAGAATCGACAGCAATGTGTAAAACAGAGTTTTGTTGCTGTTTTTGGCACTTCATGGGGCGATCATTAGCCAACATAATGGTGCAAGTGGCAAGTCACGGGTGGATCCAGGATGGAGTGCACTTTGGGCGACTGGCACCCACGCAGTACTCAAAATCGATTACGATTTGTCGTTTGTTCTAGAATAGGAAGAAAATTTACCTTTTATAAAGAAATTGTTTTGAACCGCATAGTAATGCGTAAGGATTTGACATCCAAAAGCCTCTTGATTTTTTTAGGGGGGGGGGGGAAGTCCCCGCAGCGTCCGTGACAGTGCTTCTGGATCCGCTTATGCTCAAACACTTTTTAAAGGAAGACTGCCACCTTCAAAAAGTTTTCTCAGATTGGCCTATGATTTATTCCCTGGACAAAACAAAATTTTAGAATTCACCTGACAAAGTATCATCACGTGAATCGCGAAAAAAATTGTTGATTATCATACAATTATCAATCGGTTAATGTCTAGCGACAATGTTTACACATCACTAGACTTCAAGGTCATAAGATTATTACATTTTATTTGAAAAAGTAAGGTATTTTATGATTTACTACTATATGATTTCATAAGAAATTGGCCATGTTTAATTTATTTTGCATTTAAGTTCGTAAAA